TCCAATCCGCATACCAGTCGTTGTTGCAATGTCTCAGAACACTCATGTTCTGTTTGTTCTTTGAATGAGGAAGATGGATGACAAAGACGCTGGGAGAAACCAAGAACTTATAGCCGGCCATGTGTAGCTCCAAAGCGTGGCTACACTTGTCGAGAAACCGAGCGACGAACCGATGATCGAAAGAAACAACGGACGTATTCATTACGTAGTAAGGTTCGTAGTAGTTGTCCCAGCGAGCATAGTAAGGTTTTTTGGAGAACATCCACTTTAAGTAGTCTGTTGGTTTGTGACCAGGTGCATAAATCCTCAGGTGGAACGGATGAACTTTTTTCTTAAGAAGAAGTTCGATCAATACTGGCTTGTCAGAAGGAATCCGAAATGTCTCGTCGTCTGTTTCAAAAGCTGCGATAACAACGGCAGTCTTACTAATGTCACCAAACGCTCGAGTCATCAGTTTTTCTCGTAGATTCTGGTACATGTCTGGAGACGGCATGAAATCGACATCCAGAAAGAAGGTGTAGGGAGTGGTCACGTATCTGTGTCCTATCTCCCGCATGTGGTTGGGTGGGTAGGAGGGGCCGAGCCTGAACACCAGGTGGTACGTCACGTTATCCCTCTCTCGCAGGGCTGCAGAGTTTCCCAAGAAATCAAACACTCTCTGAACCTCTGAATCAGTCGCGTGGATGCCCACACTCGCTGGTCCGTCCCAGTGAGTGAGAATCTTCCCCATTAGGTCTAGTCTGTTGTAGTCGAGATGAGTGGCCATGGTAACGTCGTATTCGTCTCTGGGAGTATAGCTGTGTCCCAGGATAAAGGGGACCTCTCTTCTCTGGACGACTCTCTCCCATGCACAAACTTCACAGACGTTGTAACTTGAGGGTATAGGGACAACAAGTGGCTCCATACCCTCCGGACACTTTGCCATTTCTCTATGTCTGAGTAACCCTCCGTCATAGTTCCTGACCGTCTCACATGCATCCTCAATCATTGGCGCAGCATCCCTACCTGCTAGCTCCATTACTGCTTTATCAACAGTGTCAGCAGCACTGGACGAGCACTGGTGTCTCCGTAATGCCTGAATCATCTCAGTTTTCTCCATCAAAGTATCGAGATTTATACCTACTGCCCCCCACCTGCTCAGCTCAAGATCCCCACTATCCTCTGAGCAGTAGGACACACACACAGCTCCACACACTGAGATCATGTGATTCTCACGTGACTCAGTCAGAGAGTATAGCTGGGCCAGGTCCACATTCACTACCGACGTCGGTTCAATGGCTATGACATGACGGACACTGTCTGGTAGAATTAGATGAAGGTTGAGGTAAATGGAAATGACCTGCGAACATTGGATTAGAGAATCGGCCAGTCTTATAGTCTCCAATGCCTGGTGTAAGTCGTAGTAATCGTGAGACACGCGGGGGAGTAGCCAAGTATCGAGCATTGCCTGGAGAATTGTTGTAGCTCTGTCGTCAGTGATAAAGTGGAAATGCAGAGGAGTCGAGCGATGCATAAATACAGACTTTATTGTAGTGTAGAGATGCCTACCACCCATGCTACCAGTAGCCACCATTGCCAGGTGCACAGTTTGACAAACATCTTCCTTGTCTCGTGAGGTATTAGTCACACTGTGTGACGAGAGAGAAGGGGAAGAGAAGGAACCGGGAGATATTTGTATCTGTAAAACCTTGTACGAGGTCCTCGAGCCGAAATCTGACGTGTGGCACCATATCAACAGCGGCAGAAGCAGCAATAATCCTGCGAGGATAAGGCCAACCGTAGAAATACGCTTGTCGACTTTCGGACACGATGCGAAGATTTTCAGCTTGTCCTTTCCCGGAGGCATTGCTAGCCAGACACAAAGCTGCCCGCACGCACCACCGCGCAGCAGCGATTTTAGAGCGCCGCGGACATGCGCACGTCTTGCAAATGCACTCTGGCCATCATTAGCACTTCACTATAATTTCTGGCAGAGGTCTACTGAGCTATATACATATCCAGCCACACTGGAAATTGGGGGTACGGGACTGTCATCATGAACCACCCAGTCACTGCACTAGCACAAAATAATGTTTTGCAGTGAGCTAAGTTCAGAACACATGTCCCCTGCCAAAGAATGTAAATTCTGCTTGTGCATGAAATAAACATGACATGTTATTGTACATCACTATAATATAGAGCTGTTGCTATGCTGGTAGACTGAACTCAGTCACACCAAACTTAGAGTCAAGGACTAACTATGTTCTGGAGGGCTAAAGAAATAGTTATCTACAGTTTTAGTTTCATAATCGTTTGTTGTCCTCACAGCCCCATCGGATGATATTCCCCCGGCACAACTGTCGATACACGAGAGATCAGCAAAGAATCTTCCACTGGAGTTTGACACTCACGCGTGTCTCGACAGGAGCTCTATTTAGTGCACCCCTTTGGCGAGAACAAAATGTCGTCCCAAAGTGGATGCTTTGAAGGAAATGAACTCGTGGTTTCTTGGCAAAGATGACATGATCGTCATTTGAACATCATTATACATGGCAGTAAACACTAACACGATAAAGGAGGTTATGTCATTCGCCGTTCAGATTATACGATACACGAACGTTTTTCTTGTTCTATTGACAAAGAAACAATACCACAAAGTCACACAAACGGGGAAATATCTAGCGAGATTACCTTCTTTATTTTAGTGGCAGTGAAATATCTGATGTCTGCAGTATTCTGTACGTGGGTTCCTCCACACATGCACTCCGTCCCACCAACATTCACCATTCGCTCCCCTTGAGGAATCACACAATGATAGCGGAAGAGGGTTTACATGATAAAATCCAATCCATGGCGGATCAACAAAATATCATCCTAAATCGGTACAGGCAGTAGTAATATTAAAGGCACATTTTCAGGTTACTTGGTTGATAAGAATGAAGCTTGGTGAATAATGTATCATTAAACTTTTTACTGCATGCGTGCTCCATGCAGTCGTTTATTACTGCCTTGCAACACGCTTGCTATGCATGGTTATATAATAATATGTAAATTGTAAACCTTTTTCATTTCTCCGCACACCAACTGGGATCGCTTCCTGAGTCAAAAATGATAATACCTCACAAACCCAACGATCACTTGTGGCTATGCATCATAATAATTCTATGGATTGTTTTACAACACAATAATAATGATGCCTACCTTCACTAATCTCGTAGCCTCTCTGTTAAGATCGGTCAAAACCTGGCCTCTCTTGTCAGCTGGTATGTTCCCGATGTACTCTGAAAGGAAACAAACTCAGTTTTCTCTACACTGCAACTCACCTATGATTTCACATGATTTGACTGTAGTTGGAGCATCATTCCTTCAATTAACCCTAGCATTTATACATACTTCCCCTTTCCCAATAAGTAATGCTAACTCAGTGATAAAGCAAAAACTCACCTACATATGGGCCATCAGGAAAATGATATCCCTGGGATAGAAATTGGTACATTAGCAAGCAAATTTTTAGCAAAGGTTTGGTAGTTCAATAAAATTTCCATGAAAATTTAGGGCAGGAACTGCGTGTATTTTAGAACAAGGCCCACAAAACTGACTCTGGTTTACCACTGAAATATTTTTTCTACCTTAAAAAGTGAGAAAGATTCTTTCACAAGGCCCAATTGCCATCCTTTAGTGACAATTTCTCAGTAATGTTTTATACATAGTTTCTCAGTAATGTATTATACATAGTTTCTCAGTAATGTATTATACATAGTTTCTCAGTAATGTATCATGCCTTGGAAGGCTCCAGATCCGATCGTGAGGTCCCTGGTTCGATCCCGGGTGTGTGTGTGCTCTTTTTACAATGATGTAATAGGAGTGTTAGCTGTTGGTATAACTGGAACGTTTTTTCATCACCTCTCAAGGCCAGCCCGAGTGGCTAGGTGGTTAGAGTCGTAGGGACTGACACCATAGGTGCCCGGTTCGAATCCTCGATCCCGCACTAAAGTGTCAGGTGGTCCAGAGCATTGGCTGGGAACAGCTCTGGTTCCTCCCCTTACCCACAAATCTACCACTGACCCACGTTTCTCAAAGGGCAGCGTATAGTTCGGCATTGCACTGCGTCCGTAGACGTCTGTCTGGAGAGATGAAGGGCTGGCCGTTTAAAAAAATTTTTTTTCAACCTTTGTTTTTTTTTGCACTAAACAATCCACAGGTAATACGAAAATTAATAGAGAGATAAAAGGTTGGCAATTTTTCAACCTAATATATTTTTTACCCTCAAACAGAAATGGGCCTGCCATTTTTTTCATGGAAATGGTGCATAACATGCTGTTCTTTTTGATGCATGGTCAAGACCATCAATTGTGGTGGTGCCACACTTGTGTATGGGTTCCACATTTCTATATAGTGTGCCGAGGGTTTGCACTTTAGTGCTTTTCATTAATAGTGTCATAATATCAGGGGTTAAATTGCATGCAAAAACTGGTGTCTTTATTAGAGAAGTGTCCTTAGTTCTGAGTAGGTATTCCACACAGCTCCGTGTCACTCTCCCTCCTCCTTCTCCCCCGCCCCCCTCCCTCCTTCTCCTCTCTCCAGGAAAAGGAGCAGCAAATAAGGATAAGGACTCATCAGACGATTCCGACGATGACTAGGAGAACTAACCACGCCCATTAATTAGCCACACCCACACACACACGCAAACGACAATATGTGTGCATTCATTGTTATACCGACTCCCAAACTTGTTGTATTGGACTCCATTATTATGACTATTTTTGTAAGCCCAAACAACGTAAGTTTGGCCACATGGTCAGTGACATTCCTCTAATCTGGACACCAATGGGACAGGAGAAAGTGTCAGTCTCATTAAGGGAGGGATTGTGCTTTTCGGGGAAGAAAGGTATTATGTAATAGTTAACGTATAGGCGGCGAGGCGATACTCTGAGGCCGGTATAGTTAACAGCCGAGGAGGATTTCCGGTATACGCGCCTGACGTTCACTGATTTGTAGTCCAACTAGCCAATCACAATGCTGAATTTCTGCCGCGGCAGCCTGCAATAATGTACTAATGGGACTGTTGTGTAAACTTTGGAAGGCAGACAATTTGCACTACGCCCAGCACTAGATGTTGTGATAAGGACTTCCTGTCCAATACTGATATATACTGGTGCAGCCCACAGCTCAGAATACAGCGTTTATTCCTATATAGCACCGGATTGTTTGAAGTTGGACTACATATATATATGGGGTGTCCTTAGAGAGGGGAATGGGAGTGAGGCTTGCATATAGAACCTATGAAGAGAACAATACTTTAATCTGAACATCACAATGGGACAGAAGAAATTGATATTAGATTCTTCATCATTTTTCAGGCGTTGTATATGCAAATGCAACGCTGTGCTATATACGAGAGAGCTACAGGTATATATATATATATACTAGGGGAGCTAAATGGAGTGGACAAGTCTATAAGCAATTACCCTCTGACTCCACTTTAAGCAAGAAGCATAATAATATATACAATATTATGCATGAGATACAGGCTTAATCATGTAATCCCGAACATCAGAACCCGTGTAATTATACTGTTTTCTCTTCTCCTTAATCCAATCCGCATCTGTGTGTGTGTGTGTGTGTCTGTTACTCTCAATCTGCACTTCACGAGTGTCTGGTTCGTCTCACAAAGGATACGATCCTACTTAACGGGCAATGACGGTCAGAAAATATGTGGGATTTTCTCTGATTGAAACTGACTCCGTTGCAGAGCTAGAGCGTGAAACAAAGCACATATGCAATACCGCAACGGACGGTGCGGCTAACTACGGCAATAATCGCTCCGCGTGCTCTGCATACCTCGAGGCACAGAAGATGCAACGAGGGCGTGTATCGCCTCTTGCATCCCATCTAGTGAGTGTAGTTAGCCGCGTCAGA